AGAGTTATGGCCCAAAACGCTGACTAACCTGCTCCACTGATGCTGTCTGCCTGGCTGTGCTTTTCCAGCCTCACACCTACAAACTTAAATATCTTCCTAACATGCTGGCCAACATTAAACATGTCATTTAAATTCTGGTCCAACAGTTTCTGCTTGGTTTCTCAGCACTATATATTTGTGTTCTTTGTTCAAACAAATAATAAGAACAAAGGAAATTACAGCACAGGAGCAGGCCCTTCGGCCCTCCAAGGCTGCGCCGATCCAGATCCTCTATCTAAACCTGTCACCTATTTTCCAAGGATCTGTATCCCTCTGCTCCCTGCCCATTCATGTATCTGTCTAGATACATCTTAAATGACGCTATCGTGCCCGCCTCTACCACCTCCGCTGGCAACGTGTTCCAGGCACCCACCACCTGTTATTCAAACCTGCAGGAAAGCCGGCAGTTTAATCCTGCCCTACTCCCTTCTTATGCATGTAAATAATGATATCCAGGCCACTTTCTCCAAGAGCTGGAAATTTCTAATGTTTGCTTTGGTTCTGGACTGCTGCTTTGACTTTTTATCATCTTATCATGGAAACGCAGAAGTAGTTTTCAGATTTAAATTCAGGGAGCACGTGCATAGTAAGAGAACAATGTCATGAAACAGTGAGGTTACAATATTTTTATATGAAGCCTTTTAACAAGATAACATGTGACAAGGGTTTGTTTGTAAATTGCAGTTTGGAACGTGTCCTACTGGGGTATAAGTATGCAAGGTCACAATGAATGAGTTGTTAGTTTATGTGGCATGGGACAGAATGAAACAGCCAACATGTTGGTTGGCATACATACTTGGCAGACATATTTGGGTCATCTATTATTGTTTAACAGTTTACTTAAGGTGTAGCATCACCTTCGTAACTGTTTTCCCAGTCATTCAGACAGTGCACAGATCCTTGAATCTAGCATTTACAAGAAGCAAATTATTGTTGAATTGTCACTTCATTCATAAATCTTGACTTACTTCAATGATGAATGGCTGGGAAGTTGACTGCTGGTATTGACAAATTTATCCTGTTGTTTATGGGTAGGTCATGCCTAAGAAACCTCTCACTTTGTTACATTGATGCCAATGTCATGGGTGTGCAGTAATAGCATGGGTAGGGGAATACTAACTTTGATACATAATTATTTAAAATTAACATCTGGGATGTTATGAGGACCCAGAGAGTTTACTGTGCCAGCATACCTAATGCTTGTTTATGTCTCCTGGAATGAAATGAGTTGGATATACACTAACACCTAATGCTGCAGCTTATCAGGAGGAGACCAAGCGAAATAATCCATTTGGCCCTGCTAGCTAAAGACATTTCCATCCACTTCAGGCTGTCTCTTGTGTACTGTTGGAGAGTGCAGATTTATGTCGAGCTTCTTTCTGATAGTTGCCTGGTTACGTTTGTGCAGCAGTCTTAATGTAGATGAGCCTATCAAGGGGGTGTCTTAAAAGCAGGAGCAGTAAACGCCATCAGAAAGTGACAGAAATTAGGGCACAGTGTCCCTATTGAGAACTAAATCATCAGTTGTACTCGGATTACCCATGAAACACTGATGCTGTAGAGCTATGTTTGGAATGAAGAATCACAATTGTTCCACTGCAGAAATAGGCTGTTTGGGCCATCATGTGTGCATTGTTTCATTTAGTATTCTAACTTAGTACCAATGTCTTGCCTTTGTTTAAATAGAAAGATTGTACACCGTTACAGTCATCCAAGGCCCTTTCGAATGTCTCAATTGAACTGACCTCCACCACACGTCTAGGCAGTACATTCCACATCATAACCACTCACTGTTTGGAAAGATATTTCTTACCTGATGTTTGCCTTTTTTTTTTTTGCAAAGCCCTTTAAAACCATGTCATCTGGTTCACCATTCATTTGCAACATTTTCTCCGTATCCACTCTGTCCAGGTACTTCATGGTTTTGTATCAAATCACCCCTCCGTTTTCTCCTCTCCTTCCTTTGGTCTGGCTGGTAACCATGATGTGGAGGTGTTGGACAAGGACAAAAGTCACTCAACACCTGGTTATAGTCCAACAGGTTTATTTGAAAGCACTAGCTTTTGGAGCATTGGCTACACCTGATGAAGGAGCAACACTCTGAAAGCTTGGGTTTTCAAATAAACCTATTGGACGATAACCTGGTGTTGTGTGATTTTTGTCCTTTCAGTGTGGCATGCAAACCTGTACACAGTACTGCAACTGAGATCTAACTTCTATCTTCTACAGTTGTCATAACCTCCCTGCTCTTATCCTCCTCCCACTATTGATGAAGCCTACAATACTGTTCGCATCATTAACAGCTCACTGTACCTGTCCTGCCACCTTTAATGACTTGTATACATGTACATCCAGATCACTCCTGCTCATGCACAAACAGCAGGCTTCATTTTGTAAGTGCATCACCTCACACTTCTCTGCATTGAACTTCACCTGGCGCCTGTGCATCTACTCCCCCAACATGTCAATGTCTTTTCAAAATTTTACTCCACCCACCCCGCAGTTTAGAATCTTCCCAAGTTTTGTGTTATCCACAAACTTTGAAGAGGTCCCTTGCACACCAAGATCCAGATTGGGTGAAAAGGTGCCTATGCTGAACCCTGCAAACACCACTACCAAATGTCTTCCAGACCAAAAAATATCCGCTAACTCCCTGCTTTGTATCCCTCAGCTGGTGTTACATCCATGTTGCTACTGTTCCTTTTATTCCATGACCTATATATTTCCTTGCAAGCCTGTTGTCTGGCACTGTGTTGAATTGGAAGTGTATATGCACCATATCAACATCCCTCCCCTCCTCAACCCTCTTTGTTAACTCCTCAAAACGTCCCAGCAAGTTAGTTCAATGTGACTTTCCATTAACAAATCAATGCCAACTCTTCGGAATAATTCCCAGTATTCCATGTGAATCTCAATTCTATCCAAATAATTGTTTCTAGAAATTTCCCCATCCCCCCCAAATTGAAACCAACTGGTCTGCAATTTCTGGGCTGATCTTGCCAACCTTTCTGGTTGTAAATGTTTGCAATTCTCCAATCCTTCTCCCAAATCCAAGGAAGATTGAAAGATAATTTGGCAGTGCCTCTGTAATTTCCACTCATTTTCTTCAATATCCTTGAATGCATCTAATCTGGTCCCAGTTTCTGACATTAAGTATTGACAGCTTATCCAATATGTTGTTCTTAACAATTTTAAACCCTTCTGGTGGGGGGAGTGGGGCCGTGTCTGTGGTGTAAAGGGTAGTGTCCCTATCTCTGAACCAGAAGTTCCAGTTTGAAGTTTCATTCAGGAAGTGATGGCCAAGGAAGGTGTATTCAGAGCATTGCCAAACACGTCGAGTATCTGCTTGTAAACCCTTCCAATGGCAAGTGATTAGAGCAGAAACCACGGGATGGAAAGAAACTGAAGACTCTATTGCCATTATCTGTAGCTCCAAGTTGCAACATGCGTGTATTTGTTGCCATAGCAACTAAGACTAGATAGGGAGTTGGTTGACAGGATGACCAAGGTGGATCAGATTGGTGCCAACGATGTGGGATTTCATAGAATCATAGAACAGAATCATTGAATCCCTACAGTGTGGAAACAGGCCCTTCGGCCCAACAAGTCCACACCGATTCTCGGAGCATCCCGCCCAGACCCATCCCCCTATAACCCACCTAATCTACACATCCCTGAACACTATGGACAATTTAGTATGGCCAATCCACGTAGCCTGCACATCTTTGGACTGTGGGAGGAAACCGGAGCACCCGAAGGAAACCCACGCAGACGTGGGGACAATGTGCAAACTCCACATAGACAGTCACCCGAGGTTGGAATCAAACCTGGGTCCCTGGCGCTGTGAGGCTGCAGTGCTAACCACTGAGCCACCGCATTGCCCCTAATTTGATCGTGTTCTGGTTGGGATGGATTTAGGTCTTCCCCATTGCCCCACACATGGTGGTGATTGCGGTGCTATGGGTTGGATCTGCCTTCAGGCACAGAATTAAGGCGGAGGAATACCCCAGGAAGATTGATACATATTGGGGCAGGTTTATGTGTATTAACCATGGATTCCTGGGACATACTTGCCTTAAGGAGTTAACCAGGAATTTCTGAGCATTTCTCCTGATTTTAACCTCCTCTAAAATTTAGCATTTTCATTGTTGATTGTTGAATCAATAGGATGGAAATGTCCAGGCTCAGTGGGCTATCTTCACTTCCTGTTTGATATTTACATGTGTATCCTACACCAGCGCACTGTGCAGTGGTGTTCTTAGCACAGAATTTCACATTCCCTGCCCATACATCGTCTTTGCTTGGCAGCCATCTGTCTCTAATGAGCTAAAGAGGAGAGTTGAGAGTCTGTCAATTTTGCAGCTAACAGTGGAGCAGGACTGTGCTAATGAAGTTCAGTTGTGACAGATACCCAGCTGTGGGTCACTCATCACCAGGAACCCTGGTTGGAGAGTGTACAACAGCGATTACCTGACCCGGGGCCATTTGGCCTTTGAAATGGCAATATCTAAGCTCGCGGCTAGCTCAGTGGTTAGCACTGCTGCCTCACAGCACCAGGGACCCGGGTTCGATTCCACCCTCGGGCAGCTGTCTGTGTGGATTTTGCACATTCTCCCCATGTCTGCGTTGGTTTCCTCCCAAGGTCCCAAGATGTGCAGGTTAGTTGGATTGGCTGTGGGAAATACAGGGTAGCGGGATGAGTTTGGGTGGGATGCTCTTTGGAGGGTCGGTGTGGACTTGATGGGCCGAATGGCCTGCTTCTGCACTGTAGGGAGTCTCTGATTCTGTCGGTAGCCTCGTTGGCCGGGTTCTGGAATGCAGATATTTGCTCATTTGGGAAGTAGGGGAGAATGCTTATCTGGAAGAGAATTCTTGGAATTAATTTGCAGTGTTCTGGAAAGAGCATTTTAAGTTCTTGTGAAATGCGTTGGGATTTATCAGTGCTTTGCTGTATTCTATAGAAAACTCATGCGGTGAAGGAGGATCATGTCTTGTGGCGCAGGTTTTCACTGTGTACTGGATTGGCAACGCCACAGAAAATCGACCCTCGCAAGTTGACCCGAAACTCTTCCTTTGGAGGTTACAATGAGATTTGCCCTTTGACCCCAGGTTTGTTGAATTTGACTTTAAGATTTATTCCACCAAACTCTGGTAGCTGTGCAGAGAAAATAGTGCAAGATGTCAGCAAGCAGATTGTAATACGTCATGATTTCTGGTACATTGCACATAAAACAAATGCAGCCCTGACAATGATGCAACTTTTATTCTTGCACTAAATGGGATTTTTAAAATGCCTTAATGGCTCAGTTGGTATTTGATCATAGAGAACGTAAGAGCTGATCTCATCAGTGCAGACCAAATCTCCAAATATGGACTGTCCAGTCGGATCAGCATCAAACTGAGTGAATTCCCTATTCCTCTAATAAAGGTAACATGGTACCGAGCAATACAGACCAGAGTTTGTCTAAATAAAAACCGAAAGAACTGCGGATGCTGAGAATCAGGAACAGAAAACAAAACTTGTTGGAAAAGCCCAGCAGGTCTGGCAGCATCTGTGAAGAAAAAAATCAGACCGAACATTTTGTATCCGGTGACCCTTTCTCAGAACGGTTCAAATGTTGCCAGACCTGCTGACATTTTTCGGCAACTCAGGGGAAGGCGATGGCCTAGTGGTATTATCGCTGGACTGTTAATCCAGAGACCCAGATAATGTTCTGGGGACCTGGGTTTGAATCCCGCCATGGCAAATGATGGAATTTGAATTCAATAAAATATCTGGAATTAACAATCTAATGATGACCGTGAATCCATTGTCGATGTTGGAAAAATCCATCTGGTTCACTAATATCCCTTAGGGAAGGACATCCTTACCTGGTCTGGCCTACATGTGACTCCAGACCCACAGCAATGTGGTTGACCCTTAACTGCCCTCTGGGCAATTAGGGATGGGCAATAAATGCTGCCTAGCAGCGACGCCCTCATCCTGTGAATAAATAAAGAAAAAAAAACTTCTGTTTTTGTTCCAGAAATTGTCTGGTTTGATTCTCATTTAATACGGGAGCAGCAGGTCTGATCACTGCATTAATTGCTGGGTTAGGGAGGGGAAAGTTCAGTCATGTATCCAATTCCTGTTCAAAGACGACAAGGTGTAGAGCTGGATGAACACAGCAGGCCGAGGAGCAGGAAGGCTGACGTTTTGGGTCTGGACCCTTCTTCAGGAAAAAAAAACTCCTGTTCACCTTGCTGAAAGCATGAATGTGCCTCTTTTGTGAGGAGAGAATTGCATTTGTATGTAACCCCCCCAATAGTTAAATAGTATGTCAACATTCACTGCCCTGGCTAACTACTAACAGCTTAAAAGAGGCTGTTACCATTTGTAGGACACAAAGTCAGTCCATTTTGAAGGTCAGGGTGTAGAGTCAAAGTTCGCAGATTAGTGGTTAGAGCACAGTGAAAGCTACACATACATGGAAGGTGATGTATCTACACTAAACCTGAGATGATGTGTCTGCGGATGTTATTTGATACGTGTTTCTCATGGTCCTGGAAGCAATTTATTATTCACACCAATTTATTATTAAAAACGAGCTTTCCAATGTGTCTGTGATGAACACACACCACTAAATGTCTCACCCACCACAGACATTCCAGTCTCCATTTTGACTGTGTGTAGACCAAGTTGCGCGAGTCCAGGTCTGAACAGCCACCTGCACTCATTATGTAATTTATTGTGTGGTTCTGCATAAATACCCTGTCACTCTGCAGGGTATTTTTAGTTTCATGGATTTTAAATCTCACCGCTGTTTTAATATCTTCCTTGTAAAATCAGCCTGAGACATTATTTAGCAGATTCAGTGTCCTGAATGTATGATTATAATATATTACAACAAGGCAGAGCATCAATGCATTGCCCAACGTGGGTAGAAATCTGGATATGATTAAGTGAAAAGTTGTTTGTTTAAGCAGGTGACATTACTACAAAGGTAAATGAAGGGCATTTCTTGAGTTAGAAGGAGCTGATCATCAACTAATGCAAACGTTTGCCACTTCGAAAATCATCTTGAATGGAAAATAAATCAAGCTTCATTTAATGATACACTAACAAAGTTATACTCCTTGAAATTTCTTGTTACAACGGCCCAGAAATTCCAATCAGAGTCAGGAACACTATCGTAGAATCCCTACAGTGTGGAAGCAGACCATTCGGCCCATTGAGTCCAAACCGATCCTTTTGAAGAGCATCCCACCCAGGCCCACCTCTTTACCTTATCCTTGTAACTCCGCATTCCCCGTGGCTGATACACCTAAGCCTGCACATCCCTGGACACTATGGGACAATTTCCCGTGGCCAATCCACCAAACCTGCACATCATTGGACTGTGGTTGGAAACCAGAGCACCTGCAGGAAACCCACACAGACACAGGGAAAATGTGCAAACTCCACACAGACTGTCGCTCAAGAGTGGAATCAAACCTGGGTCCCTGGCGCTGTGAGGCAGTGGTGCTAACCACTGAGCCACCGTGCCGCCCTATGTTGGAAATAGGATTTCTGACTGCAGTCAGACTGAAAAAACATTCTTGTGCTTTAATTGACTCCTCCTCTCGCAGTTCCCGAACAGGATCCTCCAGTGGCGTCCTGTCCAGGAAATAGCAGAGCCAGCAGAGCAGAAGACTATCATCAAACCCATGCCCCTTCTAAGTGCCATATAAATGTTCAGCAAATTTGATAGCCATTGTACAAGGGTAAGTATGTGAGGTAAGTTTGGGGTTAGGGTGCCAGGTGGGTGAGGGAATAAGGGATTGGTGTGGAGTGGTGAGGGGATAAGATATCAGGTAGGAGTCAGTTCGGGAAGATGGTGGGTGGAAAGTGGGGACTGCGGGCTGTGTCAGGCTGGGGTCGAGGTTGGGGAGTGTATTTAAAAGCCTTCCTGTATGCTGTAGTGTAGACCAGGGTGCTCAGGCTCTGCAGTGCCGCGCTGTCCCCACCTCGAGGCGAGGAGGCCCAGGTTCAAGCTTCCCTTGCTCATCCGAACAGATAAATTAAAATTATTTAGACTAGGTGCTAAGGACCTTCACAACAAATTTGTGTAGGACAGCGTCCTCCTGATCTTTTCTGATCCACTCTGCATTCACCATGACTTTACTGAACTACAGAGAGCGTTGCCATTTCAATGCACCACCTTGCTCCCTGGCCAACATCTCCGTCTCTGGCTTGCTGCAGTACTGCAGTGAAGCCCAACCCAAGCTTGGGGACCCTGCAGCCCTCCGGACTCAATATGGAGTTCAATAATTTAAGGGCCTAAACTCTCCCATGTCCCAGCCCCCCACCCCACACTCCAGGCCTTGTTACCACATAGCCTGCCACTACACACCCCCTGTTGTTAGTCACTAACAGTCGCCATTAACAACTATTCACCCTCCCAGCCTGATCGTTAGCAACTCCTTTGTCTGTCCAATTGTTTTTCTCTCTCTTTGGGCTCTATCCTATCGTTTACTCCCTACCCCACCCACCTCCCTATTTTCTGCATATAAACTGACGTTTTCCCAGCCACCATCAGTTCTGAGGAAGGGTCACCGGACCCGAAACATTAACTCTGTTTTCTCCTCCACAGATGCTGCCAGACCTGCTGAGCTTTTCCAGCAACTTTGTTTTTGTTCCTGATTTACAGCATCCGCAGTTCTTTTGGTTTTTACAGAGAGTGGTGGGTGTGTGGAATGCGCTGCCGGCAGTGGTAGTGGAGTCAGATACTTTAGAGACTTTTAAGCAACTCTTGGATAGGCACATGGAGGATAGTAAAATGTAGGGTATGCAGGGTAGATTGATCTTTTTAGGATAATAGGTCGGCACAACATCGTGGGCCGAAGGGCCTGTACTGTGCTGAAATGGTCTATGCTCTATGCTCTTGTTGCTCCCGCTGTCATTGTGCTACCGTTTAGCATAAGTTCCTAATCTGTTATCCTGTGTGCACATTAATGTTCTTCCTGTTTCTTTCCTCATTTGCTACAGGCCCTGAAATGGAAAAGAATGGATTTTCAGCTCTTACTGATGACGTCACTTCAACGCCCATCTCCAGCAGTAAGGTAGGATTCTGGTAGATGCTGCCTACCACTAACCTATACCCTGAGTGAGAACAGGCTCAACAAGCAAGGACAGCATAAACCAGCAGGTTCCGCGTCCAAATCAGTTATACTTCTCCTTTTGAGCATGCCTCTCCCCTCCCCAGATACTGGCCAGAGTGGCTATGCAGAAGCTTTCCATACAGTAGGAATTACTGTGTCAAGTGCTCTATTTCCACACATTGGGATGTCCTTATGGCCTCCTACAGATTCAGTTTAGCCACTGCTGCAGCTCACAGAGCTGCTACAGAATAGAAGGAGACCATTCAGCCCATCATGCTTGCACCAGAGTACAGAATACTAGCAAAACCAAATGCCTCCTTGTAGCCCACTTGAGCCACCCTTCTGTTTCTTCCCATGTGGTATGGAGAAAGCAATGGTAACAATAAGAGAGACCGAGAGACCATTGATAACAGAAGAAAAGTAATCTGAGCAGTGATAGTAGGAACTGCCGATGCTGGAGAATCTGAGATAACAAGGTGCAGAACTGGATGAACACAGCAGGCCGAGCAGCATCTGAGGAGCAGGAAACCTGGCGTTTCGGGTCTGGACCCTTCTTCAGAAATGGGGGATGGGAAGGGGATTCTGGAATAAATAGAGAGGGGGGAGGCGATGATGGAAGATGGATGAAGGAGCAGATAGGTGTAGAGAAGACGGACAGGTCAAGGAGACGGGGATGGAGCCATTAAAGGTGAGTGTAGGTAGGGAGTTGGGATGGAGGTTGGTCAGTTGAGGGAAGACGGACAGGTCAAGGAGGCGGGGATGAGGTTGGTAGGTTGGGGGTGGGGTAGGTCAGTGAGGTGGGAGGAGCGGTTAGGTGGGAGAAGAGATGGACAGGTCAACGAGGCGGGGACGAGCTGGGCTGGTTTTGGGATGCGGTCAGGGGAGGGGAGATTTTGAAGCTTGTGAAGTCCACATTGATACCATTGGGCTGCAGGGTTCCCAAGTGAAATATGAGGTGCTGTTCCTCCAGCCTTCGGGTGGCATCATTGTGGCACTGCAGGAGGCCCGGGATGGACATGTCGTCCGAGGAGTGGGGGTAGGTGAAGTGGTTCGCGACTGGGAGGTGCAGTTGTTTGTCACGAACCGAACGTAGGTGTTCCACAAAGCGGTCTCCAAGCCTCCACTTGGTTTCCCCAACGTAGAGGAGCAGTACTATCTGGAAGATAGCAAAGATGGTGTTAAGAGCCTGATTTTATATCTTACAGACTACCTCTTGGATGTTAGTGTAAATCCAGTAATTCCCATGAAGAAAATCAATCATGATTTCACTTCCATACTTAATTGACTGTTAATCTTTATTTGTTTTAAACCCATCACAAATGTAGCACAGTGCTGATCAGAACCTCATTAAAACTTTAAATAAAACACTGGTGCTGTTTCAGTGTAAACACAAATAAGTAAAGTTGTAAAATCAATAAATGTTTCAGCGAATATTGGCACATATTGGGGTACAGTGTAGTAAAATCCCAGGCTTGTTCCTTGAGTTCAGCTTGTGTGACTGTGAAAAGGCACAAAATTATACCTGCATGTTATGAAGACAAACAGTGAGGGTTTCTGCTGAAGATTGCAATCTAGCATCTCCTGGAAAATGTGAGAGGCTGTAATGTCTTGCTGTGATTACTGTCTAAGTCTAAACATAAATAATGATTGATGAAATAAAGTATGCAGACATCAACTGATCTCCTTTGCTCCACATCTCCACAAAGAGCCAGCCTACAGACAAATTGATTCACGCTGCATGATATCAGAACAAGGCTGAGCACGTTAGATGCAACAAATGTTGTGGCCCTATGATAATATACCAGTTGTGGTGCTGAACATTTCTGAGGCAGAACTTGTCACACCTCTAGCCAAGCAATACCTCTCCACTTATAAGGCAGAGATTGCACTCAACAAAGAGCCCAACTATGCTTTGTCCACAAAAGGCAAGACAACGTCTGCTTGTTCGATTGATGTCTCATCAGCCAATTCTCAGTCATTAGCTAAGTAATTGAAGGGCTCGTTGACTGCTATCAAGTGGCACCTAGCAATAACCCCAATTTGGCTCAAACCAGGCCCACTTGGCTCCAAGCCTCGACCCAAACATGGGTCAAAGCTTCGATTTCCAGGGGTGAGGTGAGATGAGTGTCCATGGCATCAAGTCAGCATTTTAGACAGTCTGGCATTAGGAGTGCTGCTGATTTTAATTTTACCCGATCAATGGGAAATCTCTGCGCTGGCGGCAGTCATACTTGTCACAAATACCTTGCTTTGTGCTTGTTGGAGGCCAGTCATCAGGTCTAGAACCAAAGATCTTCAGCTGCTTCACCTTTGACTCCTCACCCCCTCCCCCCATCAGAGACGATGATGTTCGGTTCCATTTATAACACCTCAGATAATAAAGCAATCCACATCCACTGGCTACATCCAGGCCTGGGCGGGTTAGTGACATTTGTCAGCACCCAAATATTGAATCCTTCTCCCACCATAGCAGCAGTGTGTACCTTCTACAAGATGAACTGCAGCACTTGCCATGGCTTTTGTAAGCCTTCCGCTTGAAGCTCCACAGCCGTCTGTCACCTCTGCCTCCAGAAGGATAGATGCAACTCTTGGAAATATATCTATGTTCCTTCATTGTGACTGGGGCAATACCTTGGATATCCTGACCTAACAGCACTCAGGGCGTATATGCACTATATGGACACGATCACCCACTAAAGAGCATTGGAGATGGGCAGTAAATGCTGGCCATGTGCCATGATTGGAAAAAATAGACCGTTGAATCCACCAATTATATCTTGATTAGGCATAGCTGTAATGTCCAGATCCCAGTATGCTGAGGTAGTGTTAACCTCATGTCTCTCTTTTTTTCCAGTCTGATTCCAAGCTATACAACGGCTACAACAAAGACTGCGTATCTCACATCTCTAAACTCACCAAGAAAGAATCTTTGAAGGTATGTGTCTCTAGGTGACAAAGCAATACCCAAACACTGGCACTGTGTAACTAGCTGCTCTGTTTCCTAGCTTATGAGATGCATTTGTTGATTTCATGTTTGTTTCAAAATAATCAGTTTTCTGATAGCAGCTCCACAAAGAAATAACGCATTAGGTTCAGCAGCAGGTCGCCTCCAAGCTGTGGGCTTTAGATCCTCAAACCCCTCGTAGGAACATGGATTAAAATCTGCACGTTTATTTTAGTACCATTCCCTGACAGAGCACAGAGAAGTGTAGGTGAGGAAGGCTTTTCAGCCCATTCAACTTATCTTCCTTTCTACAGAAACTTGTTCAGATAGAATCCAGTAATATCCTATTGCACTGTTCAAATGTTATACCTCATGTGGGCAGCACGGTGGCTCAGTGGTTAGCACTGCTGCCTCACAGCGCCAGGGACCCAGGTTCAATTCCACCCTCGGGCGACTGTCTGTGTGGAGTTTGCACATTCTCCCCGTGTCTGCGTGGGTTTCCTCCGGGTGCCCCGGTTTCCTCCCACAGCCCAAAGATGTGCAGGCTAGGTGGATTGGTCATACTAAATCGCCCATTGTGTTCAGGGATGGGCAGGTTATGTATATTAGCCATGGGAAATGCAGGGATAGGGTAGGGGGCAGGTCTGAGTGGGATGTTCTTCAGAGGGTCAGTGTGGGTTGAATGGGCCTGCCTGCACACTGTAGGGATTCTATGATTCTTTATTCCTAAGCAACACTTCTGTCTTCACTGGAAACGTTTTGACCTGTCATTCGGTGAACATGCTGTATCCAAATTGGCTGCTGTCTTTCCATGCATTAGCTGAAAGATGCCTTGGAGCATTCTCAAAAAAATTAAACATACAATATTACTGCAAAAACTGAGGTTGTATTTTTATTAATGGAAAAGTCTAAATTAACGGCTTAGTATGTTTCTTCAGTCTCCTTTACAATATTAATTGGTGCAATATTCCCCGTTGACTCCTTTGTTGAGCATAATCCAAGGTGTTCCGTGAGATTAATTGTTTAATTTACTAACAAGGTTGGCTTCTGTATTTTAAATAGGTTCAGAAGAAAAATTACAGACAGGAGAAGAAAAGGGCCAGCAAGGAGATGCTCAGTGCTTTGAAGGATCCTTCTGTAATTGTGATGGAGGATTGGCTGAAGGTAGGTTACCTGAGCTGTAGTTGTTCTGAAGAAGGATCACTAGGCCTGAAACATTAACTCTGTTTTTTTTTCTTCACAGACACTGCTAGACCTGCTGAGCTTTTCCAGCAACTTCTGTTTTTGTTTCTGTGATTGCGCAAATCCATCACCAAAGTTCCAACTGGCAGCCAAAGACAATCACTGGGTGTAGTATATTTGGATTTTCAGAAGGCTTTTGTTATAGTCCCCCACAGGAGCCTGGTCAGCAAAATTAAAGTATATGGGATAGGAGGTAATGTCCTGGCATGGATTAATGGTTGGCTAATAGACAGAAAACTGAGAGTAGAAATAAATGGGTCATTCTCACATTAGCAGACTGTGATTAGTTGGGTACCTCCAGGATCAGAATTTGGGCCCAGCTATTCATGACATGTATGAATGATGTGGATGTGGGGACCAAATATAGTATTTCCAAATTTTCAGATGATACAAAACTAAGCAGGAATTTGTGTTGTGTGGAAGGTGTAAAATGTTTTCAGAAGGATTTGGACAGGCTTAATTGGTCAAGGACATGGCAAGTGGAATATCATGTGGAAAAATGAGAGGCGATTCACTTTTGGAGAAAAAGCAGTATTCCTTAAATTGTGAGAGTTTGGTAAGTGTAGGTGTACAGAAGTGACTGAGCTGTCCTTGTCAATAAGTCACAGAAGGCTAACATTTGGAAGCAGCAAGCTGTTGGGAAGGCTAGCCTTAATCGCAAGATGATGATTTGAGCACAGGAGTAGTGAATTCTTGCTTTAATTATGTAGGAGCTCGGTTGGACCATACCTGGAGTACTATGTGAAGTTTTAGTCTTCCTATCTCAGGAAAGATATCATTGCCATAGAGTGTGCAACAAAGTTTCACCAGACTTGCGCTCAGGATAGCGGGACGGTCCTATGAAGAGATATTGAGCAAACTGGACCTGGGTTTTCTAAAGTGTCAAAGAATGGAAGATGATCTCATTGAAACATTCAAAATATTTGAAGGATAGACAGGGTAGATTCAAGTAAGATATTTCCCCTGTTTGGAG